GCTACACTTTCTTGCTAAAAAATAGGGCCATTTGTTAAGAGCAGCAAGAAGCAGACATGCATTACCCTACACTCTATGAAAGCTGAGTTTGTAGCATGTATTGCAGCAGCAAGAGACTATATGGCTGAAGAGATTTTTAGAACATCTTGAGTTTGAAAATGAAAGTACAAATCTAATGTTAATTCATTATGATGACATTGCAACCATAGCCTACACTAAAGATCTTAAGTACCATAGCAAAACCAAACATATAGACATCAAGTATAATTTTATGAGGGATTATATAGCGCAAAAGGTTATTACTATTATACATTTCCACGAAGTGTATTATAGCAGATCCCCTAACAAAACCCATAGCCAAGGAGATATTTGAGAAATATATAAGGGCTCTTGGCATAGCTAGATTGTGAAAAGACAAACTTGATGTAATATTTTGGTTATATATTAATGAGAATTTTTATTACTTCCATATAGATACGCTTGAGAATATATAATGTCTAGTATGTCATATAGGTTGATAAGGTTGACTCCCTTACACGAGCAACTGCCTTTAACATTCAAATCAAAGATGAGACATTTATGTTCACCAACAAAGCAATAAAAATGTTGATATGGTAGAGAAGAAACATAAATAATATATCACCTCGATCAAAGAGCAAATCAAGATGAGATCCATAAGTATACTTAGATCGAGTCATGGATCCCCATATTCATGATACCTGTAGCCAAACAACAAATTCTTTTAAATTGACGTCATACGAGATCAATAGAGAAGAAGATTTTGGGTTAAAGTATAGTGAGTATCTGAACATAAGTTTGTATTGTGTTAATAATAAATGAAAATGATGTATGCTCTTACAAGCAAGAGTAACACCATAACATGTGTTTCATACCACATGTGCTTAAGAATCGCAATGGGAAGCAAGTGAATAAATCCTTGCTTCATTGCTATGTGAGTCCCAGAAAGGAGAAATCCTTTCAATGATGTCCTTTGACTTTAACATTATCATGAAGATATGTCATAGTGTCTGCTACTTTAACATACATCCTGTGGTCATGATTGATGCAACCTAAAGGTATCATGTTAGGAAAGCAACTGTTTCCTATCAAAGTGGTATATGGGCGAAAGGAAGATTATCTTAAATATACACATCGATGCTCGTATTCAAGACATGTCCCATATGAAACAATTTGTTGATGCATAAGTGTGGATACTATGCATATAAGAGAGACTATCTGAGTCTTAGACTGACTCAAGAGGGATCAAATTAGTCATAATGAGAAAAGTTTATAGTGGTAAATCTAGGACATTAAGGCACGAATTCAATTAAGAATAAATTTAACTTTAAGATTATTTGTATTAGTCCTTAATAGGATTCCTAGTACGAACACTTGAAATGAAGACATCAAGCCTATGCGGTCACGACAAGGCACCTTGTATGAAGAGAGGAAAGAGAAAGAGAAAGAGACAAGACTGACATTATCTTTTCCACCAAGTGTGAGTGGGAGATGTTAGATTATCTACCTTTAGTGGATCAGGCCCATATAAAAGCCCAAATTGAGGAATAAGGTTTTTGTCACAATCATGAGAAATGCTTAGGTTTAATGTGCAATTTACTCAGGGCCTAAAATGTAATTTCTTCCTTTTGTATTTTTAACCTTTGAATTTAAGAAGGGACGGTTTCTCAACCATATATGCACGTTCTCGCATTTCATTCGCTTATGGGTGCAATTCTCTCAGTTCTTGGTTAACAAAAAAGAAGTCAATAACTCACTCTCTGAGTTTCCTTAATTCTCATCCTCTCTGCGTGCATTTGCTATGAGTCACGAATCGAGTTTGGTGTGTAACTTCATTCCAGCATACGGTATAGCACTCGGCCAACACACACCAAGTATGCTTTCCTCCTCAAAATCTTATATTAGTAAATATATGTAATATGTGTATTATATATTCCTTTTGTTTTTTGGCCAAGGTGTATTATATATTCCCATCTCATAGATATTAATTATTCCCGGTAATAAATAATAATTACTTTCTTATGTAATTAAAATTTTTTTATTATTTTTTATACTCATAGATATCATGACCCACATAAAAAATATCACACATTTTATATTTATTATTTTATTTGTGACTGTTTATCTTTTCTTATTGAAACCAATCATTCCCCTCTTAATTTTTTTTTTTTTCTCACGCTTCACTTCAATTCAAAAAGTAAGAAAACAAAATTTCTAAATAACTTGTCGCACAATCACATTCTAGTGAGCTTGACCTAAAAATCTTCATGAAGCTTGTGGATTCCAAGAAGCATATTGTAAAAAATTAGTTACTTTTATATTATAAAAAATGTAGAAGACTCGATTTGTTTTAAAAAATTTTGACTCTTAAAGCTTAAAATGAAGATTAAAATACATTTTAAATATTTTTTGAGATATTTTATGAATGTTTTAAGTTGAGAGTTTTTTTTAATTCCGTGTTAGCCTTTTTTTTCTTGATGTAACTTTTTTAAAAATTTATTTTGCATATTGAAAAGTCCAACTCAATACTAATTTAACACAATAGCATAAACTTAATCATATTAGTGGGCACGTCAACAATATTAATACCCTTTGTGCCATATCAACGTCCATGTAAAATTATAAGGACTAACGTTATAAATGAAGAAAAATATAGAAATCTAAAACACCCAAAAAAATGTGCATGCACCTATAACAATACTCAGCAAAATATGTGGACCAAACTCCCATAAATCATTTATCATAAATTATAAATTACCCCCTATAAAAATGAATTTATTTTATATAATTTGTAGATAACATGATTTGCTTTAATTTAAATATTATTTTATATATTGATATATACTAATTAAAGACAAATAACCATAATTAAACGTTGAACAATAACATGACCTCAAAGGCTTCAATAATGGTGAGTGGCCCATAATTTTGGCAAAATGATACTCTTGTTAATGTTAGAGCCGATAATTTGAGTCAAGTTTGACAGGTTAACCTAAATCCGCCCAAAAAAAGTTAGAGTCAAAGTTGACTATATGGGCTTTTTTAAAAAAGCAGGATGCTTTAAGCTTGATCTAAATAAGCCCATCTTGAATTGAGCCTAGCTAAAATAAGCTCGGCTGCTGAAATTACTGACTTTACATGTATGTAGAGCCAGTAATTCAGGCCAAACCTGATGAGCCAGCCTGAAAAAAATTAAGATTGAACTTGACTATATGAGTTTTTTTAAAAGAATATGATACTTTAAGTCCGACTTGAATTGAGTTCAGCTCGAATAAACCCAACCTACCCAAATTACCAGCCCTAGTTAATATCTTCTTGAGTTGGAAGGATTTAACAATTTATCTATCCATTCATTACTGCTTTGTTGAATGTTTGTAGCAAACAATGAAAGCAAGACTAGTAAGTTGGGTTTGATCTATCAAGGCTAGTCTTTATACATGACCTGTTGACTGTTGCATGATCAAGGGTTAAGAGTATTGATGGACTTTAAATTTATTCATGATGGCAACAATCAACTTTTAAACAAGACCATAAATAATTTTTTTATACAATTAGTCATTATTCATAGGCTGAGCTGGGTAAAACCACATGACAGCAAAGCTCTCCCAACAAGCATTTAACACAACTGTATATCTAAAACTCAAACTCGATACTAATAGTTAAGCTAGCACAACCCCTTATCAGTGAGCTACATGCTTATTGGTAACAAGACCGTAAATAGTGTTTACAAGGAAGTTTTTCAAAATCTATTGCCATGATATGTACATCCAGTTGTGTTTCTAACTATTATTGAAAAATAGCTATGTTTCTAACTAGATTTTTACTCAAGAAAGAAGCAAAGTTAATGCTCACGACTCAAAAACTCAACTTCTTTTAAAAAAGTGTATACTACAAGACTGATAGGAACCCAAAATGTGAAGATAAGTTTTTTTTGTATTGAAAGCACATAGTCTTTTTGGAGGTGGGTTTCTCTCTACTATTTTTTCCCTCCACTACTTCTCCATTGCAAATTTAAATCGTTTAAATTAAATTTGTACTTTTAAAAATTATTAAATCTAGATCACCAAATCAATTTAATAGGCTAGATCTGCAATGATTCTTCTTCTACTCTCATTTGCAGAGGAGGAAAGCCAACTTTGTCTTCTTGACAATCAATTTATTGGAGAGCTTCAAATTCTGTCAGCAACCTCCTAATGTCCATATTTTCAGACCATTAATGGAGTTCAATATTCCATTACTGGTGTCCAATATTGGCTTCTACCATTTGAATCTCACTCACTTGAAGCAGAAACTTTCATTTCCTTCAGATGGCATTAGGCCTTTCTCATATTTTGCCCCTTCAGAGGTTATTTCTTGAAAGAAATTATATGGACCTAATGCAAAACAAATACTTGTTACAATAGAAGGTGGCTAAAAAATGACATTGTCTTTTTTGCATTTGGCTTCTGTAAACAGTATAACAGACGATAAGTAGGCTTTGGAAAACAACTTTATGAAATAAACAGATTAGTTGGCATCACCCAAACCATGAATAAGTATTAAATCATTTAACCAAAATTGGGAACTAGATTGCAAATTAGTTTAGTTGCCAAGATTAGATCAACAAAAATATAATCATGATTTTATGAACTTTTTTTTTGGCCATAATGATTTCATGAATTCATCTATTAAGACATTTATAAATATGGATGTTTAGATAACAAGACAAGAGGACTAGATTGCATTGTGGTTGAGCTGCTAAGCTTGGTTCAACAAAAATTAATAAAATAAGCATATTAGTTGGCAGAAAAAAGTACTAGACCATTTAATGAAAATTGAGAAGCAGGTTGCAAATTAGTTTAGTTGCCAAGCTGGGCTCAACACAAATATAATCATGCGTTTTGTGAGCCTCATCTGTGGCACAATTTGAAACAAAACCGTCATGGACTCATGTATGAAGAAATATGCAAACATTGATGTTCAGATGATAAAATAGAAGTCATCTCTTAGTTGAGGGATTCCCTTTTATTGCTTTGATGAGCCAACCGGTTGCAGTGTACCAGCATACTTTTCCCAAAATAAGATGTCAAATAAGAGCAAGTACCTGATGTTCTGCTAGACAAATAATACTTGGTGAATATCTCTTCTAGAGTATGCTTGGTCCAAGGATAATGGAGGATAAGAAAAGGAAATTAAGGTCCCGTTTGGTTGCTAGAAATGATGAGAATGGAATGAATTGAAAAAATCAAAACAAAATGAATTAAACCACCCTTCCCCCTCATGATATTTGATTATCTTATTTTTATTTTTATTTTTTCAATTCATTCCATTCCATTCCTTTCTAGTCACTAAATTGGACCTTAGATTTTATGCAAACTTTTCTTTTGTTTGGAAATCATAAATAAGAAAGAGATGGTAATTAAGGATTTTCAAATAAACTTGATGTCAAGTTTTAATTTGGAGGATTTTGGAGGAGACATCTTTCTTAAACAAGGGAAAGGGAACTTGTAATTTGACCATCTCTTCCCCTTCTGTCACTTTCTTTGCCCTTATCTTTCATACATAATCTCAAACATACCCTTAATGCTGTTGACTCATCATCATAAATCATAAGCAAGGGATGTGTTATCTTCCCTTGCTTCTATTTTCAATTTTGGTACTGTTATTTAAAGAGATGTTGTGAGTAGAAGGAAAAAAGAGAAGACCTTCTTTAGGAATTGGACAACATGAAGCCCATATAGTAGAAGACTCTTATGTTCAGTGGACAATATGAGAGCCTGTAAAAGGAAAGAAGGGCCAATAAGTCTCTGTTCATAATACCAAAATATATATATATATATATATCTCTCTCTCTAGGTTGCCATAGTTCTATTATGGTACCGCAATGATATTATAATCTTTAATGGAAAAGATAAATATCATGCATTCACATTTATCTGTTATACATATATTTTCCTAGCACATTAATATAAATACAATTGTTTGAAAGATCCTGGATGTAGATACATGCAATTAAAATCTTACTTGTGCTTGACACACTCATATTATCATGTCTATATGCTGGACATATCACTTTGGCATGAAATCTGCCAAAATAATAAAAAACAAATGAAATACATGACTAAAAGATTTGAAAATAGAAAAAAGAAATACTGAAATACAATTTCATATGTGTACCTTTGTGAAGCTGTACGATTTGTGGTTGATGCAATCATCAAATGCTCACTTTAATACAATGTCTCAACTGTCAAATTCCACAGCAATGGAAACCACGTGACTTTTGGGCCAATTTCATCAACCGAAGATTAATGTTCAACATTAGTCAATTGTTCTCACTCCTATGAAAGTCAGGCTATGTTGACTTCAGGGTAGGTCAAAGCCTCATGTTTCTGATAGCAGTGCTAATGAGCTACTTGATATGATGATATTTGCACAATTGATATCGAAATTTTAGGCTTTGGAAAAAGAAACACTGACAAGAAGATTTACCTATTACTGCATATGATAATTATTGTTCGACACTCCCTCAAGTATAAATAGGCCGCAGAAAAAAAAAATTTTGATTCTATTTATAAATCATATTATTAAATTTTTATTAAAGTTTTTTTTATCTTTTATTAAATGTTAAAAAGAGAAAATATGTTGTAAACTTATATATAGGGACAAAGTTGAAAATTCATTAAATTTTTAAACAATGTTAATGAATTTTAAGATTTTTATTGTTTTCAGTGAAATATATTAGAAGCAGCTCAAAAATATGACCAAAGGAGTATTCGCCAAATGTTGTCACTCTTATTATTTGATTCATTAATATAAATTGTTTAACTAAATCATAGCAACTCTTTTTATCAAATAGTGGGGTTTGAAATGAGTTTGGCTAACGAAAATTTATATCATCTAATGACACAATGAATTTCATACATATTAATATTGAAGCTAGAATAGGAATCGTACTTTTCACTTGCTTTAAGTAGAATTAGAAAAATGCCATTTTTTGACGGAGCAAGATAATATACATAATAGGCAACTGTGTCATTTCTTTTTTCATGAAGTTTTAAAACGAGGTTCTTCTCGGGTGCATGGTATGAGACTAAACGATGCCTAGTTAGAATTTTAAGTGTGTGACAAACCAAAAAGGAGTGTTTGAGTTAATGAAGGATATTCATTTTATGCAGCTACAGCCAATATTGATATATATAAAAGTGAAAATTTCAAGCAAACAATTAAATCTATAAATCAATCAATGGAAGAAAAAAAGAACAAAAATTTCTGTGATTTGAAATTCAAGAAAAGAAAAAAGGAGTAGATACCTAATGAGAAACTACGATGGATGAAATTGATGTGCTTGTAATTGAGAAGCTCACTTCAATTGACTACATCACGGTCAATATTAACTAAAGGGATGTGAGAAATCATTGCCCAATATTTGCCCTTTCGTTTTTGGATCTTCTTTTTGAGCAAGGGACAGCCACTAATACATAGTCGAATAAGGGAACTGGGCAGACCCTCCTTCGGCAAGTATTGGAGTTTAGAACAGTCATGAAGATACAAGCGTTGAAGAGAGGACAAGTGGCAAAGACCTTTGTGTTCCAACGTTCTAAGATTCGGGCAGTTAGAGAACCAAAGGGAATTAAGAGTAGGGGGTAGTAGTCCTATATCAGGAAGAGACACATCGTTCGCATCTCCAATCATCAAATAACGTAGAGAAGTCAGACTATTCAAATCCCATCCCATTCGAGTGCTTATGAGTAGTTTTGGGCATCCTGATACATCAAACTCTATAAGATTCGATGGCAACCCATCCTCAGGAAATGATTCCACTAGCGGGCAGCTCCTTATTATTAGATGTTTGAGCGAGCAAAAGAGGATGCGCATTTTACCAGGCAGCAATTTCAAATTCTCCAATTCTACAAACACACAATATTCTAGTTTGGGGGCGGAAAATCCTCCTTTAGGAAATGATACAAATTTAGGACACCTTTATATGTTCAAGTCTCTACGAGAGTAATGGTGTCCTTGTGAAACAGACATCATTTCAAGATTATGACAGTCCCACAGCCATAAAGACTGAAGCTTGGGGAATAAATCCAGCGGAAAAGACTTGAGAGAGTCGCAGCTTCCTCTTATGTAAATCTCAAGAATGAAGTTATGACAATTGCGTGATGAAAACTCCAACAGGGGACAATCAGAAAAAATCAACTCTTCAAGATTGGAATTGGCAATGGTATTCTCAATCTTTTGAATTGATAAGATCTATGTGAAGTAGCCAGAAATGTGGAGAACTTTTAGAGTAGATGGAAGACATTCCAACTGCACCTTTGCACAATGTTTTAGAACCAATTTATGGGAGAGCTTCAAATTTTGTCAGCAAACTCCCAATGTCCATATTTGCATACCATTAATGGAGCTCAATATTCCATTAATGGTATTCAATAGTGGCTTCTACCATTTGAATCTCACTCAGTTGAAGCAGAACTTTCATTTCCTCCAGATAGCATTAAGCCTTTCTCATATTTTGCCCCTTCTCAGGTTGTTTCTTAAAAGAAGTAATAGGGACCTAATGCAAAAGAAATACTTGTTACAATAGAAGGTGGCTAGAAAATGACATTGACTTTTTGCATTTGGCTTCTGTAAACAGTATAACAGAGGATGAGTAAGCTTTGGAGAACAACTTTAATAAAATAAACAGATTAGTTAACGTCACCAAAACCATAAACATGTATTAAACCATTTAACCAAAATTGGGAACTAGATTGCAAATTAGTTTAGTTGCCAAGATTGGATCAACAAAAATATAATAATGATTTTATGAATTTTTTTTTGCCAGAATGATTTCATGAATTCATCTATTAAGAAACTTATAAGCATGGATGTTCAGATAACAAGATGTGAGAACTAGATTGCATTGTGGTTGAGCTGCTAAGCTTGGTTCAACAAAATTTAATAAAATAAACATATTAGTTAGCAGAAATAAGTACTAAACCATTTAATGAAAATTGAGAAGCAGATTGCAAATTAGTTTAGTTGCCAAGCTGGGTGGGTTTTGTGAGCCTCATCTTTGGCACAATTTGAAATATGCAACCATTGATGTTCAGATGATAAAATAGAAGTTACCTCTTAGTTGAGGGATTCCCTTTTACTGCTTCCATGAACCAACCTGTTGCAGTGCGCCAGCATAGTTTTCCCAACATTGCTAGCCATGGAAAGGAATATTCCAATCATAAAATGAGATGTCAAATAAGAGTGAGTACCTGATGTTCTGCCAGACAAATAACACTTGGTGAATATCTCTTCTAGGGTATGTTTGGTCCAGGGATAATGGAAGATAAGAGAAGGAAATTAAGGCCCCATTTGGTTATTAGAAATGATGGAAATGGAATAGATTGAAAAAATTATATCACAAATATGAGAATCATCACATCCTTAAAAAATCTTATAAATCATGATTTCCAACTATATGAACTAAAATTATCCTTCTTCCTTATAATATGATTCACCTGTCTCCCTCTATATTTGATTATCTTATTTTTATTTTTATTTTTTTAATCTATTTCATTCATTCCTTTCTGGTGACCAAACTGAACCTTAGATTTTATGGAAACCTTCCTTTTGTTTGGAAATCATAAATAAGAAAGAGATGGTAATTAAGGATTTTCAAATAAACTTGATGTCAAGTTTTAATTTGGAGGATTTTGGAGGAGAAATCTTTCTTAAACAGGGAAAAGGAAATGTAATTTAACCATCTCTTCCCCTTCTCTCACTTTCTTTGACCTTATCTTTCAATACATACTCTCAAACATACCCTTAAAGCTGGTGACTCATCATCATAAATCTTAAGCAAGGGAGGTGTCATCTTGCCTTGCTTCTATTTTCAATTTTGGTACTGTTATTCAAAGTGATGTTGTGAGTAGAAGGAAAAAAGAGAAGACCTTCTTTAGCAATTGGACAACATGAAGTCTATATATTAGAAGAGTCTCTTATGTTCAGTGGACAATATGAGAGCCTGTAAAAGGAAAGAAGGACCAATAAGTCTCTGTTCACAATGCCAAAAAAAAATCTAGGTTGCCATAGTTCTATTATGGTACCGTGATGATATGGAAAAGATAAATATCACACATTCATATTTATCTGTTATGCATATATTTCCCTAGCACATTAATATAAATACAATTATTTGGAAAATCCTGGATGCAGATATATGCAATTAAAATCTTACTTGTGCTTTGACACGCTCATAGTATCATGTCTATATCTGGACATATCACTTTGACATGAAATCTGCCAAAATAATAAAAAACAAATGAAATACATGACTAAAAGATTTGAAAACAGAAAAAAGAAATACTGAAATACAATTTCATATGTGTACCTTTGCGAAGCTGTACGATTTGTGGTTGATGCAATCATCAAAGGCTCACTTTAATACAATGTCTCAACTGTCAAATTCCACAGCAATGGAAACCACGTTACTTTTGGGCCAATTTCATCAACCAAAGATTAATGTTCAGCATTAGTCAATTGTTCTCACTCCTATGAAAGTCAGGCTATGTTGACTTCAGGGTAGGTCAAAGCCTCATGTTTCTGATAGCAGTGCTAATGAGCTACTTGATATGATATTTGAACAATTGATATCAAAGTTTTAGGCTTTTGAAAAAGAAACACGGTCAAGAACATTTATCTGTTACTGCATATGATATTTATTGTTCACACTCCCTCATATATAAATAGATCCGAGAGAATATTTTTTTATCTTATTTTTAAGTTATATTATTAAATTTTATTTTAAATTTTTTTTTATTTTTTATTAAATGTTGAAGAGATAAAATATATTATAAAATTATATATAAATAGGGGCAAAGTTGAGAATTCATTAAATTTTTAAATAAAATCAATGAATTTTAAGATTCTTCTCATTTTCAGTAAAACATGTTGGAAATAACTCATAGATAAGATTAAAGAAGTATTAGTCAAATGTTGTAACTCTTATTATTTGATTCATTAATATAAATTGTTTAACCAAATCATGGAAACTCTTTTATCAATAGTTGAGTTGAAATGAGCTTGGCTAACGAAAATTCATATTATCTAATGACAAGATGAATTTCATAGATATTAATATTGAAGCTAGAATAAGAATTTTAATTTTCATTTGCTTTAAGTAGAATTAGAAAAAAGCCATTTTTTGATGGAGCAAGATAATATACATATAATAGGTAAATGAAAATTTCAAACAAACAAGGAAATCTATAAATCAATCAATGGAAGAAAAAAAAAGGAACAAAAATTTCTATGATTTGAAATTCAAGAAAAGAAAAAAAGAGCACATACCTGATGAGAAACCAAGAAGGATGAAATTGATGGACTTGTCATTGAGAAGCTCACTTCAATTGACTACATTACCGTCAATATCAACTAAAGGGATGTGAGAAATCATTGCCCAATATTTGCCCTTTTGTTTTAGGATCTTCTTTTTGAGCAAGGGACAGCCACTGATACCTAGTCGAATAAGGGAACTGGGCAGACCCTCCTTCGGCAAGCATTGGAGTTTAGGACAGCCAGTAAGATGCAAATGTTGGAGAGAGGACAAGTGGCAAAGACCTTTGTGTTCCAACGTTCTAAGATTGGGGCAGTTAGAGAACCAAAGGGAATTAAGAGTAGGGGGTAGTAGTCCTATATCAGGAAGAGACACATCGTTCGCATCTCCAATCATCAAATAATGTAGAGAAGTCAGACTATTCAAATTCAATCCCATTCGAGTTCTTATGAGCTTTGGGCATCCTGATACTTCGAACGCTATAAGATTCGATGGCAACCCATCCTTAGGAAGTGATTCCACTTGTGGGCAGCTCTTTATCATTAGGTGTTCGAGCGAGCAAAAGAGGATGTGCATTTTCTCAGGCAGCAATTTCAAATTCTCCAATTCTGCAAGTATGCAAGATTCTAGTTTGGGGGCGGAAAATCCTCCTTTGGGAAATGATACAAATTTTGGACACTTCCGTATGTCCAACCTTAAAAGAAACTCATGGTGTCCTTCTGAAAAAATATCATTTCAAGATTACTACAGTCCCACAGCCTCAATGTCTGAAGCTTGGGGAATAAATCCAGTGGAAAAGACTTCACAGAGTCTCATCTTCCTCTCATGTTCATTTCAAGAATGAAGTTATGACAATAGCAAGACGGGAATTCCAACAGGGGACAATCAGAAAAATTCAACCGTTCAAGATTGGAATGGACAATGGTATTCACAATCTTTTCAATTGATAAGATCTCTGTGAAGTATCCAGAAATGTGGAGAACTTTTAAAGTTGATGGAAGACATTCCAACTGCATCTTTGCACAATGTTTTAGAAACAATTTATGAAGAGATGGAGTGCATTGAATTGAAGCCACAAGTTTCTCGCAATTTTCAATTACTAGCGTCCTTAGAGAAGGAAATTGTGGAAGAAGGTGCCCTTCAAGTTTGGGACAGTCTTCTATAGACAATACTTGAAGATTCGGGAAAGCACAGGAGATTTCTGAGGATGGTGTAGTTAGTTAAGTTATTTCCATAAAATTCAGGACCAATAGCTACTAGATTAGCAAACCCTATAATTAACAGTGAATTGAGAGATGGAAGGAGGTTTGCCAATGGTAAGGAAAAACAGTTTTTACAATTCGTCAGCTCTAGGGACACGATGTTGGGAAATGAAAGACCCGTAAACCAATTTGGAAACTCGATGCCCCCATAATTTCTAATTAAAAGCTTTTTTAAGTTTTGATGAGGTTGCAGCTTCTCTAGCACGTCCTTATCATTGTGTGAATTTTCATGGTCCATATTCCACTCTAATGACAACTCCTCCAAGTATATCTTACTTTTCAAATTGACTTCTGAAGCATCCGCTGGAGAAATTACATTTTGTAACTCTAAGATGGAAATTGATCCACAAAGATTTAGTTCTTGTATCTGTTTGATGTCAGTCTCTCCACATTTGCCCACAATAAATGATGACAATACCATAAGATTTTTCAATTCACCCAACTGCTTCGGCATCTCTCTCACCCGAGTTTCACGAAAATCAAGATGCCTCAAATTCATGAGTTTATGCAAAGCCGCCGGTAACTTTTCCAGAAAGCGACAACGCCACAGCTTTAATGTTTGTAAATGATAAAGCTGACATATTGAATCAGGTAATTTCCTTATGCCAGTATCTGAAAAGTCTAGATATCGTATATGTTTAAGGTTTCCTATTGAATCAGGCAATTCGACAATGTGATGAGAATAAGACAAAGATAAAACCCGGATGCAACTAAACGTCGAGAGCAAATCATTTATAACCTTGCTAGACATCCAGCATGCAATTCGCGGCAAGGGTGAGGCAAGAATGTGCGCAATCTATTAGCCTGGCATATAACCTTAAACCTTTTAGAAGTTTCAAATACATTTCTTAAATATGAAACATGGCGGGTCATTTCGGTCAAGTCATTTCCTTCGTCTACTTCTAACCTATAGCAAAATTTTCCATACTCATCTTTTGCCAAATCATTTATAAGGTCATGCATGATGAAATGCATTTCATCTACAGTTGATCGTTGGAAAAGAGATCTCGACAATAGATCATGGAAGAATTGTTCTCCAATTTCCTTAGCATCTTTGCTTTGATGAGCACAAGGTAAGAAATTTTCAGCCATCCACAATTGAATTAGATGTTCCTTGTCAAAGTCATAATCTTTGGGGAACAACGAGCAATATGCGAAGCATCTCTTGAGATGAGAGGAGAGGTAACTATAGCTCAATCTCAAAGCTGGGAGAATTTTGCTATTACTCCTCTCCTCCCATATCTCACTTCTTAAAATCCCATTCCATTACTCATGAGATATTTTCGCGTGCAAGAGACTCCCAATGGTTTTCACAGCCAATGGCAATCCTTTGCACTTTTTATTGATTTGTCTACCAATATCTTCAAGGTCGAAGTTTGAACGAATAACATCTGCTGCATTGCGGAATGCATATTTGCTGAACAACAACCAACTATCTTCTTCTGATAGGAGCTCTAATGGAAGCATTTCAGTTGAACACATGGTTGAAGCAACTTTCTCATTGCGGGTGGTCAAAAGAATTTTACTTCCTGGAGCCCCATGATTGAAGGGTAATTGTAGGGCCTCCCATAACTGATAATCTTCATTCCACACATCGTCTAAAACGACAAGAAATCTCTTGAGTCAGTGATTGCTTCAATTTGATTTGAAGTATATTTAGATCGTTACTATCATCCTTAGACGTAGCAATTGCCTCCAAAGTTGTTCTTGTTAACCTCAATACATCAAACTCTTCAGAAACACAGAGCCAAACCTTGAGGTCAAATTTATCCACCACCCTCCTATCATTATAAATAAGCTGTGTAAGAGTAGTTTTCCCTAACCCACCATCCCAACTATAGAAATGACAGATAGTTGACTGTTATCATTGTCCGTTAGCAACCATTCAATAATTTTTTTCTCTCTCATCTTTTCTACCATACGTGCTAGTTTCATCAACCAATGATGTTGTAGGCAATCTTTCTGATACTGAACTTCTCAACCCAGCACCACTACCACGTTCATTCAAACTTAATATACCCTTTTGAGATGCAAGATATTCAAGTTTTTCAAGCACGTTTTTCATCCTTGATTCAATTTCCTTCTCAAATGAACTAACAGAAGGATTGAAGAAGTTTCGTACCTTGTGGGCAGCACTGGTTTGACTCTGAAACTCGGCTTCCACCTTGCGCTTGGTCACTTCATAATCAATCTCATCCAAGACATCCTCAGCATCGAACATGACATCCTTGACCACATCAATCCAATCCTTAACCTTTGGATTAGCAATCTGCTTTTGTTATGCATCGTCAACTACAGCGTCAATGGATAATAGCACCGACTTCAACTTACTGAGCAGCATCTCGTTCAATTTTCGATTCTTGAAGAAGTCCAAAACATTACTCGAAGCCAGCCTGTCAAAAGCCACTTGAAGAAAAGCAGACAGAAAAGCACCACCAACCAAAGCTCCTGCCATGGATGAAGCTGTTGTGAGTCTGAAGAGATGGAGGTCAACCGAAAGAAATGATTCTGCAAAAGGAAGAAAGCAATTGAAATGATGTGGTGACGTATCAGGATTGATGCTGAATTATAATATTGTAGCGGCCAGCTGGAGCTTCAAAAGGAATCATCCAAGTTATTGATTTGCCGTCATTAAATTTATTAAGCATATAAAGAAACTTTTAATAAAGGGACAATCACAGCAAAGGACCTCTAGAACAATTTATATACCAGAAAGGATCAACTAATTTTGAATCTACTATGCAGATCAAAAGACCAAATCATAATTAAATTTTAACATAAAAAGATAAAATTACTCTCCTTTTTTTTTAAAAAAAACTCTTTCTTATTACCGGCTACTGAAGCTCTAACATCAGTGGCCAAACCACCACGCCAAACCAATTATTAGAGCTACGACATCAATCATCAAATTGAAGGGGAGATAAATTAAATTTTTTTAAGGTGGCCAAGAAGAGTTTGAAGCCACATCATCTTAGCCACCAAAAAAAATAATTAGCCACTAGGTTAACAATTCCTTTCAATTATATAATACAAATTTTTATATATATTTTATTTTGTTTTCACTTTTCATACAAATATTTGTCAAAAAATGAATGATTTTAATAAATGGGACTTATTAAAAAATTTAGTATGCACTGATTTTTATAAATATTTACTTGTTTTTATTACCATGAATAACAAGTTCTCGTTAATAATTTAACAAGTAATCATTTATGAAATAACAAGTTTCATTACTAATTTTAAAAATTTTTCTTAATAATTTAACAAATAAGTTCTCATTAATAACTTAACAAGTAACTCTTTGTAAAATAACAAGTCCCATTGCTAGTTTTAAAAATTTCTCCTAATAATTTGATAAGAAAATTTTAGTAAAATAATAAATTTTTATAAACTTTTACACGTAAGATTTTAGTAATAAAAACACGTAAACATTTATAAAAACTATTCCATATTAATTTTTTTAATAAATTCTTATTGATAATTTAATAAATGACCATTTAAGAAATGACAAACCCCATTATTAGTTTTGAAAATTTCTTTTAATAATTTTACAAATAAATTTTGAGAAAATAATAAGTGCACATAAACTTTTGACATGTAAAATTTTAGTAATAAAAACAAGTAAACATTTATAAAAATCAGTACATATTAAATTTTTTAGCAAGTCTCATTAGTAGTTTAACAAGTAGTCATTTATAAAATAATAAGTAACCATTAAACTCTTGACAAATATTAGTATAGAAAGTGAAAACAAAGTAAAATATAACAAGGCCATAAATTTTCATTATTAAATAAATTTAATATGGAATGATTTTCATAAATGTTTACTTATCTTTATTATCAAAAGCTTATATGAACTTATTTTTTTTTAAAATTTACTAGTCAAATTATTAGGAGAAATTTTTGAAACCAGTAAGGGGACTTGTCATTTCACAATAAATACTTATTAAACTATTAATGAAGACTTATTCATTAAATTATCAAGAGGAATTGTTAAAACTAATAACAGAACCTATCATTTCATAAATAATTACTTGTTAAATTATTAATGGAGACTTGTTATTTCTGATAATAAAAACGAATAAACATTTATAAAATTAGTACATACTAAAATTTTTAATAAGTTTTATTTATAATTTAACAAGTAATTATTTATAAAATGATAAATAATCATTAAGTTTCTTACAAATATTGGTATGAAAAGTGAAAATAAAATAAAACATATATAAAAATTTATATTATATATTTAAAAAAAATTGTTAGCCAGCTAACTATCCTTTGGATTTTAAAAAAAAGTTAATTTGTCCTACCTACCGATCCGATAACCTACGCTAGAGCTCCAATAGATAGTCTAATGAAGTGGTCCTTTTTGGTAAATAAAATGTTTCAAAGGTCCTTCATTGTGATTTTCCCTCTAATAAATCAACAATAAGACACATCCAAGAAAGGAATTTGCTGACTGTATCTCCTCCGCGTTGTAAAGCATTCACAATTTCACATAGAAGACGTCTCACAAGTTTTATAATTCCTTTGCTTTTGTTGTTCCCTTTTTCTTTTTCCTTACAGATCTTTGGTATATTTCATAAGAATTTTAACGTGATACAAATAATATTAACATTAACAATATTGATATATCAATTAGCATAATTAATTTTGTGATTATGTGTCAAACTAATATTGTAATAGATTTTTTAATGATAAAAAAATTAAAAAAAGAGCCCACATTAGATGACATAAAAAAGCTATCCTAGAATCTTTAAATTTTTATTTATTAAAAAATCCATGTCAACATGATATAGGCTTTTTTAAAAATTTTTATTATTAAAAAATCTATGTCAACATCAACTTGACACATAAACACAAAATTAAATGTGTTAATTAAGATATCAGTATTATTAACGTCGTTAGTGTCATGTCAACATTCCTCTAAAAGTATAGAGACTAATGTTATAGATGTAGAAAAATATGAGGACCTAAAATACTAAAAAAAAATATATAATCAACCTGAGCAAAGTGTAAAGATAAAAAAATAATGTTTTTCTTAAATTGTATTTGATTGTGGTTTGTGCTTTGCTATTGTAAAGTTTATTTAATTTTTATGTTTATTATATTTTAATTAAGATAAATACATTATATTTCATAAAAATATGACAAATATATAATTACACAAAAATATATTTTCACTTATAAAATTTATAGTTATTATATTTTTATAAAAAAATATAATGATTATAATTTGATGAAAAAAACATTCACACACAAGTTGATGCTTGTCTCACAATACTTGCATATTAACGAGTAACACAAGTTTGTTATTTCAATAATGTCTCTCATGTCCTTAAGTTTCTTCACAAGACAATTAATTAATTAATTAGTACAAAATCTATTGACAATAAAGCAGAACAAAAGTGTTGTTAATGAACATTGTAATATTTATTAGTCTTATCAAAGACTTTCACGTGATTCTTCCTTAAAAAATTCTAATAAAATAACAAGTCCATTTGCTAAACTGAATGCTATGAATCTTATTTGAAATAAAGTTCCTATAGCAAAGCTGAAATCATTGATTAACATTTTTGAAATATCTGTGTGTGTGAACATTACACCATGAGGCATAAGGGCGTATTCAAATTTCAAGTATTACAATCTCTACTCAAATGCAAAATAGGAGCGTTTTTATGCCTAGTAAATAACCGCAATCAAGTCTCTATTTTCCCTAACCCTGAGAAACCTTATCAAAACTTTAAATCATGAACTAAGGCCTTTACAACGTTATGCAAAGGCAACCCTAGGAACTAATGCTCACATCATCTCTTCAAAAATTCAAATTTCAAAGGAGTCTATAATACAACACTAATAGAAAAGCAGAGAATGTGAACGAAGATATATTTCAGCAGCTTTGAAAGCACAGAGTCGTCTTGGTAATCAATGCTATCATGGGAATTATATTTGTGAATGAATTTCGGGCAGTTGGAAAGCTCCATAATTTCAGAGCAATGATGGTGTTTGATACTGTCTTCCACCATTTGCATCTTTCTTACTTGAAGTAGAACTTTCGTTTCCTTCAGAGTACATCAGGCCTGACTCTATTTTGCCTCTTCTCTGGCTGTTCTGACGAAGCAATATGTACCTAATTGGGGAAAAAAAAAATCTTCTTAGAATAGAAGACAACTGAAAAACGACATTGTCTTCTTGCAGTTAGCTCCTATATCTATACTTTCTTTTAATACACTATAACAGAGGGCAAGCAAGCCTAGGAAAACACCATTCTCATAAAATAAACTAATTAGTTGGCATCATCAAGATCATCAATAAATATTGAACCATTTAACTGAAATAGGGGACTAGAAGACAATTTGGTCTAGTTGCCAAGCTTGGTTCAACAAAATTTTAATCATGGTTTTCACAACTCGCATTTTTTATCTTTATTGTAATTTGGACCAAAGCTATCATGAATTAATGTATGAAGGCATATGCAAACATGGATGTTAAGATCAGAAGATAGGAATCACCTCCAAGTTGAGTGGTTCCCTCTTATTACTTCTTTCTATCCGAAAGCCTAGCGGCACCAGCGTTCTTTCCCCAACACTGCTGGCTGTAGAAAAGAAATATTTCAATTATCTATAAAACAAGAAGCAAAATAAGAGTATGTACTTAATATAGTGCTAGACAAATAAGATTTGGTGAATTTCTCGCAGGGTATGTTTGGATAGGGTATAATGGAGGAGGAGAAGGAAAAAGGAAGGTTTCATCACTGTTATATGTAGTTTTGTGAAGCAGTATGATTTGTGGTTGGTACAACCATCAAATGCTTCCTTTTAATAATGCAGTAACACATTAAGAAGCCACCCACCAAAAACATTAACGAAAACTTCAACAGACAATAAAGACCTTCCTTCAACAGACAACTAAGAATTCATAAAATTTTGAGCTCTTGGCAGCTTTAAATTTTCTTGGCATTCTGCTAATGTCCATATTTTCAGAGCATTAATGATGTTTGATATTGGCTTCTACTATTCGCGCCTTCATTATGCTGCAGCTCAGCTTTCACACTTTAACAAGAGCTTTCATTTTCTTCAGAGTACATTACGCCTGATTCATATTTTTCCACTTCACTGCTTGTGTTTCAAATAAGTAATACGGACCTAACGCACAAAGAATACGACTTCATCTGGTGCACAAGCCCCACAGAATAGGGCCCATCTCACCTAACAGGTGGAATCCACTTCTACTATCCTTGTAGATTTGTTGGTCAAAACTACATTGTGCAGCACTTTCACAAAAAAACGAATAAAGCTTTAAGATTTTATTATTTGAAACTCAAATGATCAAGTAATCATTCAATCTAAAATAAGAAGGCAAAAGAAAGAAAAATATGATTTGAAATTTAAAAAAAAGAAAGAAAGAAAGGAGTGAATATATACCTGATGAGTGAATTAGATGGTAGGAAAATCGATGCCTTCATCATAGAGAAGCTCACTTATAGATACTACTTCATCATCGTCAAAGATAACAAAAGGGACGTGAGAAATCTTTGCCCAATATTTGCCTTTTTGTTTTTGGATCCGCTTTTTGAACAATGGACAGCCTGCAATTCGTAGTTTACAAAGGGAACTAGGCAAACACTCCTTTGGAAGGTACTGGAGTTTAGGACAGACACGAATTCCCAAGTATTCCAAAGAGGATAAGTGGCAAAGACCTTTGTGTTCCAGTGATCTAAGATTTGGGCAGTTAAGGAATACAAGGGACGTAAGAGTAGGTGGAAGTAGTCCAATATCAGGAAGAGACTCATCATCTGCATCTCCAATCCCTAAGTGTTGCAGTGAAGTAAGACTACTCAAATGCCATCCCATTCGAGAGGCTATGAGTTTTGGGCACTCAAAGACATCAAGATACACAAGATTTGATGGCAAACCTCCATCTGGAAATGATTCCACTTGTGGGCAGCATTTGACGAATAGAAATGTGAGGGAAGGAAAGAGGATGTGCATTTTCTCTGGCAGTGATTTCAAATTCTTCAATTCTTCAATGGAACAGATTACTAGTTTGGGGGCCAAAAACCCTCCTTCAGGAAATAAGACAAATTTAGAACACTTTCGTATGTACAAGCTTGTAAGAGAATAACGGTTTCCCTCTGAAATAGATATCATTTCAAGATTATTACAGTCAATCAACTTCAATGATTGAAGCATCGGGAATAAATCTAGTGGGAAAGACTTAAAAGAGCCACAGCTTCCTCTTATCTCCATTTCAAGAATGAAGTTATGATAATAGCATAATGGGAATTCTAGGCAGGGACAATCAGAAAACTTCAAACGTTCAAGGCTACAATTGGCAAAGACATTCTCAATTTTGTCAACTGATAATAATCTTTCGAAGCGTCCAGAAATGTCAAGGACTTTTAGAGTTGATGGAAGACTATCCAATTGCTCATTTCCGCAATTTCTTAGAACCAATTTATGAAGAGATGAAGGAATTGAAGACAAAAGCTTCTCACAATTGTAAATTACTAGCATGCTCAGAGAAGGAAGTTGTTGTGGAAGTTCCCCTTTCAATTTGGGACAATTTTCTACACTCAACTCTTGAAGAAGGGGCAAAGCAACTATTACATTTTCACATTTCCATTCCTCCCAACCCTTCATGTCTCGGAACCTCAAGATTTCTAGGGATGTAGTATTAGAGCTATTTCCAAAAAATTCTTGACTTATAGTAATGATACTATGAAACCCTATAATTGACAATGACTTGTGGAAAGTGGCCAAGTGATGGCAAGGACATACAGTATTTGCAATTCCTTAGCTCTAGGGACACTATATTGGACAATGAATGATCTGCAAGCCAAGTTGGAATCTCAATACCACCATAGTTGCCAATTGATAGCTTTTTTAAATTTTGATGAGGTTGGAAGTACTCCAGCACATCCTTGTCATGTTGTGATTTTTCATTGTCTATACACCATCCTAATGTTAACTCCTTGAGGTGTATCTTGCTTCTCAAATTGACTGCTAAAGCATCTGAGGGAGAAACTATATTCTGCAATTCCAATATGGAAATTGATCCATAAAGATTAAGTCCTTCTAAGTGTTTGATGCTGGTCTCTCTAGATTTGTCTACAATAAATGATGACAGCACTTGAAGATTTTTCAATTGATCCAATTGCTTTGGCATCTCTCTCACCTGAGTTTCACGAAAATCAAGGTGACGTAGATTCATCAGTTTATGAAAATCCATTGGCAACTTCTCCAAAAGACAACAACGCCACAACTTTAGTGTCTGCAAATGATGAAGTTGACATATTGGATCAGGCAATTTCCTTATTTTAGTTCCTGATAAGTCCAAATAACGTAGATGTTTGAGATTTCCTATTGATTCAGGCAATTGCATGATGAAATAATCCGCCAAAGATAAAACTCGCATGCAAATAAACTTGGATGGCAAATTGTGAATAATCCTGCTAGATATAAAGTTAAGAACAGAGGTATAGCTTGTTCTTCTATGGCCCTGCATAGATAGAGGCAAGAATGTGCGCAATTTATCAGCCTGGTATATAATCTCAAACCTTTCTGATGGATCAAAATCATTTCTCAAAAATGAAACATGGCGGGTCATTTTTGCCAAATTATTTACATCATCTACCTCCAGTCTATGGCAAAACTTTCCATATTCAACTTTTGCCAAATCATTAATAAGGTCATGCATGACAAAATGTGTTTCATCGACTGTTGATTGTTGAAAAAGTGACCTCAACAATAGGTCATGGAAGAACTGTTCTCCTACTTCTCTTGCATCTTTGCTTTGATGTGCACATGTCAGAAAATTTTCCGCCATCCACAATTGAATTACATGCTCTTTATCAAAAGCATAATCTTTGGGAAATATGGAACAATAAGCAAAGCATCTTTTGAGATGAGAGGGGAGGCAGCAATAACTCAATCTTAAAGCAGGGAGAATCTTGCTATCGCTATTTTCCTCCCATATCTCACTTTTCAAAATGCCATTCCATTGCTCATGAGATAATTCTGTGTACAAGAGACTCCCAATGGCTTTCAAAGCTAAAGGCAACCCTTTGCATTTTTTACTGATTTTTCTACCAATTTCTTCAAGGTCAGAGGTTGAACCATGAACATTTCCATCATGGAATGCATATCTGCTAAATAATGACCAACTGTCTCCTTCTAATAAGGGCATCAATGAAAGTATTTCAGTAGAATGCATGGTTGAAGCGACTTTTCCACTGCGAGTGGTTAGAAGAATTTTGCTTCCTGGAGCCCCATGATTGAGTGGTAATTGCAAGGCCTCCCATAGCATAAAATTTTCATTCCATATGTCGTCCAAAACAAGGAGAAATCTCTTTTGAGCGAGTTTTTGTTTTAATTTAATTTGAAGCATATTTAAATCATTCGTATCATCCTTAGATATGGTGATTGCCTCATAAATTGTTTTTGTTACCCTCAAGACATCGAATTCATCGGAGACACACACCCATACTTTGAGGTTGAATTCATCCATCACCCTTCTATCATTATAAACAAGCTGGGCGAGAGTAGTTTTACCCAGACCACCCATACCCACAATAGATATCACAGATAGTTGGTTGTCATACTTTTCTGACAGCAGCCATTCAATGATGGTTTTTTTGTCATCATCTCTACCGTATGTTCCATCTTCATCCACTAATGATGTAGTTGGCACTCTATCTGGCATAGCGCTTCTTACTCTAGCACCACTATCACGTTCATTCAATCTGAATATATCCTTCTGAGATGAAAGATATTCTAGATTTTCAAGGACAATTCTCATCCTGGATTCAATTTCCTTCTCAAATGAACTAACAGAAGTGCTAAAGAAGTTTCGTACCTTGCCAATAGCACTGGTTTGACTCTGTTGTTGGGCTTCCACCTTGCGCTTGGACATTTCGTAATCTATCTCATCCAAGACATCCTCAGCATCGAACACTGCATCTTTGACCATATCAATCCAGTCCTTCACCTTTGGATTATAGATCTGCTTTTGCTCTGCATCGTCAACCACAGCATCAATGGATAACAACACGATCTTCAACTTATTGAGCAATGCCTGGTTGAATTTTGGTTTTTTGAAGAAGCCCAGAACATCTCGAGAAGCCAGCCTATCGAAAGCCACCTGAAGAAAAGCGGAAAGAAAAGCACCACCAACCAACGCCATAGACGAAGTCGTTGCGGTTTGCAAGAGATGGAGTTAACCGACGCTGGAAATGCAAAACGAACAAGAAGATGATGAAAATGCTGAAGTGTATTGCAATGAGTTTGTGCGACAGTGTGGCTAGAAAAAGTGTGCAGCTTCTCTCGCTTTCACCGGAAACCACGCTTGAAGTTGAAAAAATCGATCACGATAAAGACTTTTAACTTTTTAAGTTCTGAGCTCCTAACTACCAAATTTATTCATTCCATTATTTTGTTTCTTTGACATTATAAAGTTTTAGATTGCGAATATTGTGTTCGAGGTCAAAACAACTGTGCATTGTGCTGTACAACTCAATGAAGATTTGTTGCCCCATGTACGGTGAAATTATAAAGTTTTACTATAAACATCTGTGTAAAAAATAATTTTATGCTAGAGTTTCACTGAAACATGTTTTAAAAATTTTGCTTTATTTTATATTAATGAAACGCATATCTGATGCTTCTCATATTGGAATAAATGTTAAATATAAGGACATTGTAGTTAAGAAACATTTCCTTCTGCATCTTCTAAATGGAATACAAGGTAAAAATTTTCAATATTATCTTGTCTAAAGTCATGACTATGAAAAAATGTAATGAAAACTTTAAAATAATTAGGAAAAACTCAATTATTAGTTCTATAGTTTTATCAAATTTTGCTTTTAGTTTTTATAGTTTTTTTCTAGCATTTTTAGTCCTTATAAGATAAAATTATAGAAACTGAAAATACTAAAAAAACTAGGAGAGATAAAAGTAAAACCTAATAAAATTATAAGGATTGATAAGTATGCTTTCTCAAAAAATTATTATTATTTTTTTCAATACATTGATTCAATGCGAACAAAATTGGGGGGGAATCTCTTCCGATAAAGTTAAATTAAATAGTTAATAACTTACACCCTCTACCAAAAAATATAAAAATTTAACTAAATCTTATTATCCAATAAATTAGTTAATTATTAAAATCATCTTTACATATTTACTCTCATTTAATAGTATGTTTTACTTAAAAATAAATATAAATTAATTTATTTATTAAGAGTATTTTTAAAGAAAAACATATTAATCACATCTTAAAATATTAAAAATATTTTAATATTTTTAAATATTCAGCTCTTTAAAATATGTTTTATACTTTTTATGGGAGAGAGTAATCATGTAAAAGTGTCTTATAAGAATTAGTGCAACTATAGTCATCAACAAACCTAAGAAATAGTATATTTGAGCTAAGCCATTCAGACACATAGCAACTGTGTGAACAATAGATAGCTGTGTCCACAGTACTGGCTCACTTTTTAGTATTGCTGACATGTCATGAGGTCAAACGAGTTTGAATTTCAAATTGAAATGCTCTCTAACTGTTGATTCCTCGCCTCTCCTACTCCCATCCTCTCTACTTTAGTGGCTAACAGTATTTGTAGCATGTCCATAGCAGTGAACTAACAGTATTTATCAAGTGTATATATATATGACACTGATGCATATGCATGATACACCGATTTCCCTTTATCTGAATCCTCACAACTATGACACAAGATATGGTGTACGTGTGAAATGTATACACAACCGCGAAGGCGTCTATATTTATATACAAAAAGAATTGCTCTATATTCTCTTCTGCAAGGCAATGATTATTACAATGAAGATAGGAGAGATAAGAAATAGAAGATAGGGGAGAACTTGATTTAGTGCCCTTTCTTGCACATTGAGGTCTTCTTGTGAAGTGTAGTTAGACTTGTTTTCTACAAAAGCATCAAAATAATTCTGGTAGCCTGTGTTCCATGAAAATGGAGATACTGTTGTCACCTTCATCATTTCCATAGCCTGCCAGGACTTCAAGTTTTAGGCAATAACATTGATGTCTCTAATGAATAAAATAGACAATTTACATATTAAAAGCTCCTACAAAGTTAAATTGTAAGGACTTGGCAAAGAGTCCCAGAACACATTGCGAACCAATAATTATTACCTGAAAGCTGAAAACGAACTGTCTTGCTTTCTTGCTTACTTTAGGACTCGGGTGAGATTGAAGTTTCTCATACATAAGTCGAGCTTCATTGGACCTGTCAATTAATCAAATTGAGTTCGGATATCTTAAACCACAAAGAAATAGTAAACATTAAGAGTATCTAGCTAGCCTTTCAATCAGTAGGTTATTGTGGCCTCCAATAAATTCCTAGCCATGAAAAATAGTCACACACTTGTTCAGATCTACTAGGACTATCATGAGATGGGCAAAGACAATAGAACAGAAAAACCATATTCAATTGATAATATGTGATATTATGATCACAAATACCTGCAGACTTCTTGCATACAGCGTCAACATCTAGCGATTCTGCAATTTTTAATATTCAAAATCTCTTTTATCTCTTTTATCTGGCCATATGCTGGAGTTTTACTAATGCTTAGAAAGTGTAAAGTAGTTGAAGTCCCCATCTGACTCATTGCAAAAGCCGAGATAACATTGTTCACTTTTTCAAGTTTCTACCATTGTCCCTCTCATCAAGCATAAAGTCCTGCGACTTGGCATTTTTCACCCATCTTGTTCCTCTCAAATTACATCTCGGTGGTGGAAAAGATTTTATTGCTAGAATGAAACACTCCGAAGCTTTGAGAAGCCTTACTTAACCCCAAGGTATCAATGCCCAGTTGGGGTTGAATTCTGGCTCAGATCTCTATATTCCCAACGTAATTTTTGTGTTTTTTGTTTTTGTTTTTGTTTTTGAACAAGTAGGTGTGGGGGAGAAAGTTTCGTTTTGAATAAAAGACTCTTTCCTCCAATACGAGATAGCTCATTTTCTTTCTGTTATAAAGAGGGGTAGAGAAAGGCAAAGAAAAAATTTATGAAAGTTGTTAACCAAGACCTCTTAATTAACAATATTTTTAGAGACTTGATAAATAATAGAGCACAATGATGCCGTGCAATCCATGTAGCCGACCCCACTAGTGGAATGAGGCTTGTTGTTGTATAAACATATGTAGAGACTTCTGTTAAAACTAACTTGCCACAACTAAACCAAATTTCAGATCCGAAGTTAAAGGGTTTGTTTAGGTTCATTTTCACTGGAATAATGTGCATGCTTTGAAGGTATATCCTTTTTCACATTGAAGCATTTTTTGGCTAAATAAAGAATTTAGGGATTGCATTTTGACTTTCAATGCAAAAAGAACACGAAACAAATGGAGAGAGTTATGTATTATTTAACGAGAAAAATAAAGATAAGTAATTACTAGTTAATGAAAGGCATCTTTCACTCAAAAGGTCTCAAGAATTCTAAGTAGAACATGCATGATTGGGGCAGCAACTCTGGAGAAAACATCATTTGGCATATTATTGAAGCATTTAACCTTCCGTGATTTTCAAATGAAGACTTTTACTTGAGACGTAAAACATGTTGGATTAAATTACTTGAGACATAAAACATGTTGGATTAAACACACACAACACAGATTTGAATAACACTGATATTCAATGGGAAGTTTATATATACCTGCTGAGGGAGTCTTGACAAATTGACCACTGCAAAGCAGCTAATCCATGCAACTCACTCTGCAGAGACATGATTAATATAAGTTTTCTTTTTCAGTTTATTTAGTAGAGTCAAGAGGGAGACTAATTAAAGTACAGAACAAAAAGATAACTTGTTCTTCTTTCAGTTCTAATTAGCATACGTAAAAGCGGTTACCTTAAAAGTTAATTTCTCCATGACCTTTTCATAGAAAGGCAATGCTTCTTTCAGCTTTCCTGCGTTCATTAATAAGTCACCTTCCTTCAATGTCTGTAAGCATCACGTTATTTGACATAATTATGCTACTAAGTCATGATAAGCAACATAAGATGTGGCAAAACAAAAGACCAATCAAAAGGAAAAAAAAGAGAAACGCAATCAAGAACAGTTTGTTGCAATACAAAATTTGGATGTCATAACTCATAAGATATCCTATTGGATTCTAAAGCTGATTCTCATGAATGCATAAGAACAGATCTTCACTATTGTATGAAGCCATATTGACATGAATTTCTTCAAACCATTTAACAAATGAAGTCCACATCTTATCTTTTACAACTCAACCAAGAAAACTAAATCCATTTAGCCATGAGCCGTTGATAGTTAACATGAAATCCAAAAGATGCAGAAAGATACAAACTAACCTTGAAAAGAAACTGGTGCTTAAGAGGAGGAGGCAAGAACTGAAATACTTCATATGCCATTATATATACTTACCTCCTCACACTCATATTTTAGCTTTGGATCAATATTTAATCCAGTTTTCTTCTTGTACGCCGCAAGTAATTGTCTTGTTCGTGCTTCTTTAGCATATTTTTCTTCTTCAGTCTCTAGAGCGTCTCCAGGACGTATCACTCTTCCACCACCATACTGAAACCACCAAAAAATAATTAATAAGCCCTGAGCAATTGAAGAGCATGTGAGCAAATTAAGAAATTGCTAAATTGCAAAGTTCAGTATCAAATATTATATACTGTTTTCGAAATATTGCTGGGTCTAGGAAAGACACCCCAAGTAGAAACTTTTGGCTTGTAAAGATCTGATTCGTCCTCCTCAGTTTGCTCTGGCTTGGGAGCTGTTGTTGCAGCATCAAACTTTCTGGTGTCCCCAACAATCAGCTCCACCTCAGGCAAATCACTGCTTGAGAAAGGGTCAGAAATTGGAACCAATCCAGGTGGCAGTCCCCTGGTCTGTTTCTTATCAGCAAATTCAAGTCCCATGAAATCCATTTTCGAAACTGACAGTTGCCCCTTCTTACCAGTAGTATTATCCACAATATCACTTCTTGAAGATCCTTCATTCCCTCCCTGCAATCCTAAGAACCAATTCAATTTTCAAATACACATTTCAGGCAAACTACTTACTGTGGAGCACAAAACTTTTCAGTTTTCACCATTTACTGAATCAAATACATCAATGCAAGAAACTTCTGCTTCGCACAAGATATGCCTATAGAATTACCTTGACCCATTTCAGTGAACGTAACCCCTTTATTCTCCTTATACTTCTTGGCCTTCTCCATCGCGATCTTCACAGACATTGGCAAGTCCTTCTGCCCACCATCAACAACATCCTGACCCGAACCTAGCCCGTCATTCCCATTTGATTTTTCAGCCAAACTCGCGGCAACGTTTTGATCAACCTTCGAATCGGAGTTCAATTTCAGGGATTCTCTGTGCGCCTTGGCTTTGCTGAACGCGAGCTTCACAGAGTCAACAGGTCCGGGCTGAGATTCGGGGGTGGTTTCGGAAGATTCAGCATTTTCAGGGTTAAGAGCACACAGAAGTTTTATGGGCTTGAAGGAGGAAAAGAGAAGAGAGGGTTTTGTGTGGGAGATGAGGTTCAATGAAGAGAACCAATAAGGCTGTAAAGAAGCCATAATTCGAGGGTGGGAATTGGTAAGAGAACTAACAGAGTTTTAAGAAGATGTTTGGAAGGCGAGAAAGAGAAGAAGCCATCTGGGAGATGGAATAACTGAAGAAACAGTGACAGGTTACTTCCTGGTTATTAGATAAGGCAACAACGGGCGGTTCTCTCTCCCGCCAATGGATCATCGGACACATTTTGGCCGTTTACCTCAGCCGGTTTAAACATATTTTTTAATTCTTTTTTTATTTTACCTTTTTTAAAAAAAATTAAAAATTAATTTTGTATTAATTAGTATGACCCCAAAAACAAAATTTTAACCAGGTGACCTCCCGATTAAATTTTTGAAATAAATTGCACAGTGGGTTTTACTACATGTATTGTCGATTTGTTGATGACTTGTAATAACATCCTGTGGGAAAAAAACAAACCTTGTGATAACATTATTTATTAATAAATTTAATATTTGATCAATAAAGGTTCACTTAATTTTTAATCAGTTCCCTTTAATTTTTAAAGTTTTAAAACCACTACTTACAATTCAGTCCAATAAAGGCATCAGTCTTTTTTTATTTTATCATAAACAATTCGATACTTGGTACTCCTTTTAGTAACATTTATAAGTCACAATTTAAAATGTCCATTTGCAGGAGGAGTGGAGTAGGGGGAGACTGGCAAGGGTCATGACCCTCCTAATTTTTTAAATTTTTTTAATAAAATATAGAAGTTATATATTTTCAACTCCTATAAGTTGACACATTATAAAAATTTTGAAATACTAGATGAAATTTTCATTTTAATTTTATATGTAGTCTTTTATGTATGTATAAGGCAACTATTTCAATAACTTGAAGATGTAATTATCATAAAATCTACTTATTTTCAACAAAATAATGTTATACATACTCTTAAAGTATTAGTGTCATTTTATTTTGCTTTCATTTTATATTTAATGAAATAAATTATGATAATTATTATTAACAAACTTTGTTAAACATTGTAACAAAAATTTTAAGATATATTGAATGATATATGCTTGATATTTATCATAAAATCACTCATCCAAAAGTTAAGAGGTTTGATGAAAATGTTCTTCTAGAAAAAAATTACTTTTTTAAATAATCAAGCTATTAAAATTTATGATATGAATGATTTTTACTATAATATAATTTGATCTCATTGATGTAAAGATTTAATGACAATTAAGCATTATTAATTCATTGATATATCTATTTGATACGATTATTAATTAAAAGAATTAAATAGTAAATTTAATAAGTAAGTAATAGAGTTTATTGTATTGAACAAGACTTTAGATTCCAATGATGTATTTAAATTATTTAATTGTCATGGGAATAATAAAATTTTCACCAATTTAATGATAATTTATATTGAGAAGAAAATTGCTAAAACATTTATCATAGACATAATAACTAATTATGTTTATACCATAAAAAATTAATGAGCAAAACTTAAAATATATGTTGTTATATATGTATAAAATTGAATATAAATATATATGTTGAAATATTTATATTATGTTGGTGATATATATATATATATATATAATTTTTTAAATTATCATATATACTCTATCATCTCATCCCCTTAATAAAAATTTCTGGCTCCATCTCTGCCTATTTGATCTTATTTATAAGTCACGGTGTAACTTTTAAAATAATATTTAAAAAGTATTTCTAAAATTACCCTTCATAAGTAAGAAAAAGTAACATGATATTATTTTTTGAATATAAAAGTATATTTAAAATTCTTCACACTTTTATTCCTTTTTTTCATTGATATTGATGAAATTGATAAAAATAATTTATAAAAAAACCGAAATAGTAAGTGTTAAGTATTTGAATATGAGTCATATAGACTCTGTTTTTGAGGAAAGATTGCACACCACATCTCAATAAAATGAATAACTCTTCCATAAACTCATCAAAGGCAAAATACAAAGTATATAGAATAGCAGAACTTACACACGAAAATAAAATTCAAAGTAAATGACACTTAAACCCGTAAAACTAATTAAATCTATTTACATTTAATTAATTCTATTTCTTTATTTCTTATTTTCCACACTCCCCTTCAAGTTGGGCCATAAAAATCTATGGTACTCAACTCATCTAAAAGATATTCATGTGCCTTTCTACCTGGTGCCCTTGTGAGAAAATTAGCTTCTTGTTGTCCTAAAGAACATGATGCAAGTGAATGATCTTTTCCCTTATCTTTTCTTTGACAAAATAATAGTCCACTTTTTATGTGTTTTGTCCTCTCGTGGAAAACAGGGTTGTTAGCAATATGTATAGTTGCTTAACTATCACAATAAACACTTACTGGTTGAACATAAGCAATGTTCAAATCCTTAAGCAGACTTATAATTCAAATGACTTTTGAGACATCCAAACTCAAAGCTCTATATTTAGCTTCCGCAAATAATTTAGACATCATGTGTTGTTTCTTTGGTTTTTAGGAAATTATACCATCACCTAATTTAACCAAATAACCAGTAACAGATCACTCGGATGTATGGCATAAGGCTAATCTGAATCACGAGAAATCAAAATTGTTGAGAAAGACGATGATGCTATGAAGTAGCAATGTGATTAATGAAAAATCAAAGAGAAAGGGTCAAGATTGAGGGGGGAAAAGAAAATCACTAATATTCAAGATAAACTCACCTCTTCTTCTTTCCTATTGTTTTGAGGCAAAGCCTGCCTTTTCTCCTTCCAACTGGCTTCATTGATGATGTCATCAAAGTTGAAGAGTGACGATAAATTAGAGGGCGACTGCAAATGCCTTTTTCCTCCAAGCAATAATGAATATCGCATCAATCTGAGTCAGGGGGTTACCCACAAAAACAAATGAAAGCTAGATGGCTATGGAACAAATACCATACCCATAAGTTTCTCAACTTCTTATTGGTGGTATGGACATAAATCACGAACTGCTTGAGTTGTGCCCAGAAGGACACTGTCCTTAAAAACTATTTCGACACATCGAGATGACGGATTGACAGTTTTTTAGAATTAAATAAGCACTTTCTGCATAATGCAAGGGCACAAAACAACAACACTAATAGAAAAACTCAGATGAATGTAAAAGAGGAGGAGAAGAATGCCCCGAAAGCTCAAGAGGCTGGCCCTGATCCTGTCTGCATCCATGTCTATATATAGGTTAAAGGAAGACATTGGGCTCATAATTCCGGATTAAATCCCATTATGCATTGGTTACACAAATGTAAAACATGTTTAAGTTCTTGAGGGTTATATGGACGTAAAACACATTAATTTGGAGCCATTAGTAGGCAATGGCGTTTAAGAAATTAACTAACAAAATTGGTTTTAAGAAGTGATTTAATACCAAAAACTACAAAGGCTCCAAATTCAAATTTAAACAGAAAAAATTTGAGGTTTTCCAGGTAAGCCAAAAATAATTTATTTATTTTGTAAAAATAATCTAGTAAAAGAAAACCAGTGCCTCTTGAACTCACGCACAGGAAGGGTGAATCAACTAATTTACCGAAATTGCTTTGAATTAGCCTGTCTCATGCATATAAGCCCACTTCTCCTCTAAGCCCATTTTACTAGCCCATTTCATTCCTTAGTATTTATATATTAGGAGAGTTCTTCACTTAAAGCAATGTGGGACTTTTGACACACACATAACACTTCTGAGGCATTAGATTGAAGCTTTTTCATTTAGGATGAGGATCGAAGCGAAGAACTCCAATTTGGGTTTTGAAATGGTCCCAAACCTAGGTCTCCATGTACTACCTTTGCTGGGAAGCAGCTCGATTACATGGACAAGGACTTAGGACCAAAATCTCTCTCCCTAAATCAAAAGAGGGATTGGGATAGGAAGGGAACAAACAAAACCACAAAGAAAGAAGGGAAATCATTGAGAGGAATTAGGAATAGTGGAAGTTTACCAAAAGAACAAAGAGCAAACTTGCTCATCCAATTTGAGGGTCCAATCACAGGCACCAATGACAATGGACTAAGAAGGTTAGAGCCAAAATTAATGATCACAATGGAGAAAGAGAGATTTGAGTTGTCCTGAGAATGAAAGCAAGGGCACGAGCGTAATGGAAATTGATTTCAAAAGAGCAACCTTTAGAGTGATTAAGATTTGTGTAATTAATATCTATGCCCTCAATATTTCACGCGATTTCACTCAGAGCTACCTCTATTGCGTGATTAAATAGGAGAGTAAAGCATATGAGCACACACCAAGCTTGAGACTATCATCATCATCCGTTTTTTTTTTTTTTTGAGAAAAAAGGTAGTTTTGAAATTTAAAGAATGAAAAAAGAGGGAACTTTTTTATTAGGATGAGAAAGTACAAAGTTCAATGCAAGCTGAAAAGGTTGAAGAATCTGACGCTGTTCAATTGAATAGTAACTCAAGAGAGGAGCTTTTCATGAGCCTCTTATAGTTTTTTTAAGCAGCTTATAGTCATTGAGATTTATTAGATATATAGATATGTTAAAGACATCCCCTAGATATTCATAAAACTATCGTTGATAAAAACAGTTTTACAAAGTGGGGATTTAGATTAGTTTAGATAAGATGTTGTAATAATTCTTCTGATACAACTATAGTGTTTCCATCAAAGCCTTATCCTATTTGATTTCATTTTCTGATTTTATTTTCCTAAACAACGAGAGTCATAATTTTTTTTTTACTTTGTTTCTTCTGATATATTTCATATTCAAAACTGGTTTTAAGAAATAAAAGTTCCAAGAACTGAGAAGTAATATGCATAAGCGATATAATCATTCAGTATTTTTTATTTATAGTTCAAATAAAAAAAGAAAGAAAGGGCTTGCTGCGCAGACAAACGACGCATTTTTGTGTATAACTAAAAAACCGTTTGGGCCTCCGTTTTTTTTTTCATTGAAACTAAACTGGGTTTCTTAATGGAATCGGATTTCAATCTACCCGACCCAACGACGATGAAGGTTTTCTGAACATTGATTGAGACAGTAAATAAATGTAGGGTTTTTGAGAGTCTTGATATAAAAGGGAGTCCTTATCTTCTTGTTTCTTTTGGTCTTCCATTTTACTCCTGGTCTGCGAACTAAGGTTCCCCCTTGTTTGAGACCTCGAAGGTCAAAGAAATTTAGCGAAGGTAACATGTTTGCCACTTGTCTACATCAGTCTAGCAATACTTTCTCTTTCAGGTTTTCATCATATGACTATCATTTCCTGCGATTTATTGTGGTCATCGCTAAATTCATTTTCTGTAGGGTGTGGGTTTGCGATTATGTTAGCATCTATTTTATAATTCTTTTTTCTGTTTCGGGGGCGAATATTGGTTTTAAGGGATTGATAAATCCTATTCGTATGAGTTGATGTGATTTTCGTGTTGATTTTTAGGGGTGTTTGATATGATTGATTACGCCAAGTTAAATCTTCCTGGATTCTATTTGATTTGTTCTTTGATGAAGTCAAGTTTCATTATCTTGGATCTTGGAGTCATTTTTTCTTAGCTCATGTCTAAGGGATTGAATTGGTAAAGTTGTTATGGAAGAATCACTTTTTTCTCTGGAGTGTCATTTAAGTGCTTGTAGCTAGGGAATTTAAGGAATAATGCGTTCTGTGAGAGATTTGAGCATAGGTAATGTGATTTATGATTGATGCCTGATTAGTTGCGGGGTTTGATTGCTTCATTGAGAAAATGAGACATTGACGCTTTTAATATTTGTCATCAAGAATTTTCCAATCATGGGTGTCTACATTGCCTCCAAGGATGAATAAAAATAACTTTCGTTCTTCTGAGTTGCTCAGTGCGGAAAATTATTGGAGACCTGAACTGAGGAGGCTTTATGAAAAAAATCTTTTTATTTTAGGTTTCTATCGAACCTTTAGGGTTTAAAATTAGACTCAATCTTTTGCTGCAAACTTAGTGCTGTATTTTAGTCAAGGATGATCACCTCTATTATCCTTTTTTCCCCCTTTGTAATTGTGTGTATAATGTATTCTGCGAGAGGCTTGTTCATGGCCTTTCTGATATCTGGATTCTTGGCCTATGCATGATAAAGCAAGATGTTATGAAAAAGAGAGAAGAAAAATTTGACCCTTTTTTTTTTTGGATTTTGGATACAAGTGATCCTATCGTTTGCTTTTGGTGCTTCAGATAGGTCTCATATTTTTCATTGATATTTGGCGGTCTGCATTGAAGCTTAGTTTTAAATGATGAATCTTTTGTTCTGACATTTTACATCTACGCAGATGAATAGGGAAAAGTTGATGAAGATGGCCGGTTCAGTTCGAACTGGTGGGAAGGGTACCATGAGAAGGTATGTGCATGTACCCATCTGGTGATTTTCATTCATTTGATGTTAGGTTTAGTAGATACCAGATAGATTGCTGCAGATGCTCTTTTCTATTTGATGTTTTGGTTTATGTCACCTTTCCATTGATGTAGTTCTAGAATTTCTCTGAACCAAATAAGGATCCATTTTTCTACCCAAAAGAAAAAAAGAATTCATTTTTGCATGTTTCTTCTCTGTATCATTTTTAAATGTTGCACTTTCCACAGAAGTTAGCATCTATACAACCAAATTCAGCATCATGCCTTTTTCTTCCCAATTTTGTTTTGTTGTATTTTGTTTCAGACATTTTGGAATATATCTTCAACTATTACATTGAGTTGTTTTGAGTTTAATTTTAACAATGACGTAATGAATTCTGAAAATTACAGAAAGAAGAAGGCCGTCCACAAGACAACTACTACAGATGACAAAAGGCTTCAGAGCACCTTGAAAAGAATAGGGGTGAATGCTATCCCTGCAATTGAAGAAGTTAACATCTTCAAGGATGATGTAGTTATCCAGTTTCTAAACCCTAAAGGTAATGTCAATTGGTGCTGTGTATTTTGTTTTCATGTTGATGAAATTGAGTGTTGGCTATAATGTCAATTTGAGATGTGTATTTTTTACGTCTTAATTCTTAACAAAATTGAGTGTGGACTGAATTGTTAATTTGTTTTGTTCAGTTCAAGCGTCAATTGCTGCTAATACCTGGGTTGTTAGCGGCGCTCCTCAAACAAAGAGTAAGCATCTTTCATTAAGGCTATAATAAGATATACTACTATCTGACTGAACTCATGAAATTTGGAGTGCATCAAGGAATTTTCCGGCACACTATTGGAATATTCTGGAATTTAAAGTGCTCCCTATTCTTAAAATAACTCAAAGCTAGATTTGCACTTAACATTTGACGTGTGATTTCTCTCTTGCAGAGTTGCAGGATATACTCCCGAACATTATCCACCAATTAGGTATTTGCCTCAATGTCATCTCAGTTACACAACTTTTCTTTTTTATTTTTTTCCTGCATACTGAGTTTCTTCCCTTGAAAAACAATGCAGGACCAGACAACCTGGAAAATCTGAAAAAGCTAGCAGAGCAGTTCCAGAAGCAGGCTCCTGAAGCAGCAGGTGCTGGTGCAAACGCCGAGCAAGAGGAGGATGACGATGAGGTCCCGGATCTTGTTGCCGGGGAGACCTTTGAGACAGCTGCTGAGGAGAAGACCCAAGTATCTTAGATTAGCGTTTGACTGTGCCAATATTTGCTCTTGTTTCCAAGCTTGCTTTTTTTCCTTTTCAAATTTCAAGTATTTACAGGTGCTTCATGTTTACTTTAAATAGTAGCAATACTCCTGAATCAGCTTTCCGTCCTCCTACTAATACCTTACCTGTATTAAGTCATTCATGCGCCTCGTCGTTGAAGGTAGCAACCAGTTTTGCTGCTTTACGTGCAATCTGAGTTCACATTTGGGTCCAAGAAGCAATGAAGGGACAGTGAAACGATATTTTTTATCTTGCGTAGGGCTTGCCAAAGTAATTCAAGAGATCGATTATTTCTGCATTAACATGACTGAATTTGTGCCGAAAGTTTGCAAGCTTGATTTGCTTTATAAGATGGTCAGAAGCATCATCATCGTTAGTCATCTTTATCACAGTTCACAGCTGAGCTAACTGTTTGAGTGTCTAAATTATCAGGCCGTGTGTGTGCGCCTAGCATCAGAATGGTGTTCTGTAATGTTCTTCGGAACCCGAAATATTCCCCAAAAAAAAAAAAAATCTAAAAGCCGAGATCATGTAGTAACGTGTAGTTATGGGTGATTAAAGCTATAGTTTGGTTCGGTTTGGATTGAAACATAAATCAATTGGTTTGTACAAAGAATGATAGTTGATTGGTTTTTATTTTTAAAGTCAGTTTGATTCAATTTTTAGGTGGTGTTGTTCGATTTGTTTTATATATGAATGAAGGTTCAATATTTTTTAACTCTTTTTTTCTCCTTGCATATTTTAAAATCAAGTTACATTTGAATAAAAATTAATATTATATGAAAAATAAAAATATTCAAATTTTGTTATTAATAAATATTAGAATATATGCATTGTAAGTAATATTAACATAAGTTAAATTTTATTATAAATTATCTTAATATCTATAATGCAAAGAAACTTATTTTAAATCAATAAAAGGAAAATGTGGTTTAGTAGCATGTCCTGAAGGTTGAAACATTTGACTCTTCTTAGTCAGCAATGACAATACACTTCTCCTTAATTTAGATCATCTTTTACTCTAAAAACAATTAACAAAATTGAGAAAACTAGGGTTAGTGATTCTATTATGTTACATTTGGATAGGTGGATTTAAGTTGGCAATTTAGATTTGAAATTTCAGATTTAAAATTCATATATTTTAAATTTTTTTTTTTGGATTATATAAATTTTTTATTATAATATTAAAATTCTTTATTTGGATATAAAGTAAAATTTTAAATTTTAGATGCTATATTTGAATTTAAAAAAACTTGGATGACATTGGTAATTCATTTCCAGTCAAAGTCGATGGTTCAATGGCCAACTTCTTCCTGGATTAGACTGTCAATGCCAACTAGAATTGTAGCACTGGCGATGATCGAGATGAGACAGCCAACTTTCACCAAGATTAGACTGACGTGACAATAAGGACTAGACAGCCAACTTCCCAGGAGACTTGACCGACAACGACGACCAGGACAATTGAGACCGAACAACTGACTTCCACCTAATATGTTATTAATATATATATATATATATATATATTGGTAACATATTTTTCTCCAACCAATATTTAATGGGTGTTAATGGGGAAACTTATGATAAAATATAAAAAGAAAACATAACTTTGAATTAATATAAGATTTACTATAAGGATCTAACATAACTTTGAATCAATGTAAGATTTACTATAAGGATCTAGAACACCAAAAAATAAAAATGTAGGGATCTGAAACACACACACACAAAAAAAAAAATTAAGGTCCTAAAACAAAACTTGAATAAAGTGCAGGAACTTAAAATGATGTTTTACCAAATATCATTGATATGCCTTGTAAATATAATTAAAAAAATTACTCTCTCCCCCTCCCCTCTCTAGTATAAAAATATTCTAAATAAGTAAATCTAATTTATAGAATATAAATAGACAAAATCTATATGAAGATATGTGTAAGTATGTGAAGCATGATTTTTAAGAAATTCAATTTCGATAAAGTGTTCATTTGTCTCTTCATGGCTCATTTAATTTACTTATTTCTTGGCAAGAAATAAGAACATTCATATTTTTGAATTTTATAATTTCATTTAATTGTTGATTTAGTTTTTATGTTCTATAAAAAAAAAATTCACTTCCCCTCCTGGTTCTTTTTAAAAATCCTTCCAAATACCTCATCAAGATTTAGAAATTTTGTTAAAATAAGTTATTGCATGTATAAATTCTTCATGAGTTTTCAAATTACTCTTATCATTATATTATGGTTTACATGTTTCAGTGTAATTTTTATAATAAAATAAATTCAAAAATATGTCAAAACAACTCTAACAAAGTTTCTACCAAATTTTGACAGTCATTAAATGCATGACTAGAAACAGTTTTAGGATAAATTAAATTAATAGTTTGTGATAAGGCAATGAGAAAGTTTCACAGTTCCAAACATGAAAATTAATGGAAAGTGCTTCTTCCCCAACTTAATTTCATAGTGTAAACTGACCTACCTTAAGGTCTTCAGGTAGATCAACATTCTAGTCTCCACTCATTTCTCATTGTTTCCCAACACTTGAGAGCCTAGAAAATCTATTCATAATGAATACAATACATAGTTAATTTAAATTTTATTCGAATTAGTAAATATTTCTTTTATTTTTGAAATATATAAAGAAGAAAAAAGTCAGCTTATAGTTTATCTAAAAATTAAAATTGAATTAAAAATCAGAAAAATTGTATGATTGATTTTTCTTTTCTTCCCCCCTCCTCCTATATATCCTAGATAATTTAGAAATATTATCATCACTCTCTCAAACTAATCCGAACCTAATATGTGAAGCCATTCTTCCCAACAATGGCATCGCACATTTATGTGTATCTTGAGATGCTTCTAGCATTTTATTTGATACAAGTGCAAATTATAAGACTCAAACTTAAAACTTTAAAATAAACTTATTCAATTCTCTCAATTAATTGAATCGAGTGCTCTCAATTATAATTGAATCTTCTGCACGATTTGTAAAATAGATATTCTAGTTTTATAATATTTTTTATTGAAAACTTGCCTCCACGATTAATTGATTTGTATAAAGAAGTAAACATTTTCTTAATCAATCCTTTCACCTTTTGGTATAATTACTTGAGACACTTGGCACTTCATAGAATTAGTGAATAATGAAACAGAGGGAAGGTGGATAAACATGCAACACATGCTTTAAAATAATTCCTTTGGAAATTAATGGCGTATCTTTCTCTTAATAATCCTGATATGTGCACTTTGAGAAAGAGACAATATGTGTGTGTGATGGATAAGAATATAGGTAATTCTTTTTGTGATGTAGAGATCACAAAAGTAAATTTTGACTCTTTTAATATGATATTTTTCATGCACATGAGTGCATACAGGCTGGGGTGTACTGGATTCACCCCAACTCAGAAAAAAATTTAAAAATTATTTTTAAAAAATATGAAATAATTTTATTAATAAGTACAAATATAATTGTAATTATTTAAAATAAATTTTTTAAAACTAGTATTAGGATTAAAAGTAATAATTTTTAAAAATGATATATATATATATATATTTTAACAATTATGTATTATTTTTACATAATATTAAGTTAAACAGTCAATTTAAATTTAAAAAATTTAGAAAAACTGAAACAATCCAAGGTATTTATGTTAGTAAAAAAAATTCAAATACTAAGGAAAATAATATTATAAAATAATTAATTTTTACAACAAAAATTAAAAAAAAATTGCACACACATTATGCATGTTCGAGCTAGGCATGGCATGGGAAGGTTTAACCTTTACATGATGCCCAATCCGACTAGCTCAAGTAGGACCAGCCTATCAAATCACCAGTAACATGCTTAAAATATTGAACTATCTATCAATTGTGCTGGATTGTTAGTGAATATAAGTAATATTGTATAACAACAAAAATTCAAATTTTATTATCCTCTTCATTAAAAAATATAAAATATCTTTAATTATTTCATCCCCTAATAAATTAATAAAATATCTTTAAATTAATATTTTATTTTTATATTTACCCTTATTTAATAAGGTTTTTTTACTTAAAAATATATATAAAGTGATTTATTTATTAAGAAAATTTTTGAAAAAAAATACATTAACTATATTTTAAAATATTAAAAATATCTTATATTTTTAAATATTCAACCCATCAAAAAATACTTTACATTTTTTTAAATGGAGAGAGTATTAATATTAGAATTTTATTAGTAAGTAATTTTATAATCACATTTTAAACTATACAACCTATCTTAATTCTAATGATTCTCACACTTAATTAATCTATGTTTAAAAAAATTGATGAAGGGTAGGATATATCTTTAATCGGGAAGTTTGGTTGTTAAGCATTACATGTGTCATTGAAAGAGCTTAATTTCAGCATTGAATGAACGAAAAGTGATTCAAAGTGCAAATGGTAGATTATTGGCATAAACTCAGAACCATCCAAGTTGTTTCCTGGTAAAAAGGCATAGCACATATTCTTTTTTAAATTATTATGTATATTTTCCATCATCGCCCACTATGTTTCAGAACATATTCATATTCTCTATGACCTTAAAGACTATTCTTTTCATTTTTTTATAAAAAGATAATAATAATAATAATAATAACAATATTCAAGGGAATAACTCTGCAGAGGAAAAATTATCAAGTTCAGTATTTTTTTACAAGTAGTTCATGGATATGTGTAGATTCAGATTTGTCATTTTCTTAAGCAAAAATTTGACTCATATAGAACTAATCCTATCTGTTCAATAAATTTAGATAATTTACATTCTTTCTTAAAAATAAAAAATTATGATGGATAAAATTGATGAACTTACTTAACTTGTGAATTAGCTCGTTTAATTTGTAAGTTAAATAAGTCAATTTTGTTTGAGGGGAAGTGACATTAAAGGACAAAAATTTGAATTAAACTTAAGTAGAGATCAAAAGATATGAAAGTTTGAAATAAATACCAAATATCGTTCAGTGAATTAATGAGCTAAAAATTTACTACTCTCATTCCATAAATTTACGATCATTAAACAAAAATTTGCCAATGAAATTCGCTAATTTATAAGGAAAAAACTTGTCAATCATATCACTACTTCCAGTGATTTTCTACTCTCATATCCTTATTTGCAATGCTCAAAATACTAATTTTCAAGTAAGATTCATTAATTTATGAAGGAAAATATTTTCAAGTAATAATATGTTTGACAAATCAACAAATCTCATTTACAAATTTTTATCTTGAGGGTTGCAAGTCATGAAATGAAAGTAACAACCTTTTATACCAATTCACTAAAT